TTCCGGGTCCACTGGTGGAACCTCTTCTAACTGGTTCGGTAGATTTGATGAACCGGTTCTACCGAATAGGTGCGAACTGGTAGGAACCCACCTCTACTCTCTGTAGTCTTTGCAACCAACATATTTGGTGAACATATTTGGATGACAAACAGTTGCCACAGGAATTATCTGAGGGACAATAGAAAAGTACTAAGAATGGAAAGAGACTCCAGGGGTATCAGTAAAAAGCACCAGATTTCTTCTTCAGATTATGGAGAAGATAGGTGCATATTTGCTGTTTAATAAACCACAATGCAATTAAAGCCACAATTTGCTTTTCAGTGCAAACTGCAGGGGAGAAGATTTCAATAAAAAGTTGTAGACCTTTTTATTATGATCCAGTAGAGCTGACTCAAAACACGGCTCTCAAAGTTACTCCTCAAATTGTTAAAATTTCACAGGAGTGCCAAAAGCTTTCCAAATTTCTGTGTTTCTTTGTGGCAGGAGCTTTTTATGAAAGGGAAGTTTCTTGTATATGATCTTGGCTCTTTATTTTGTTATAATTTTAAGAGTTGATCTGCCTTTAAATGTCTGGCGGATGCCCTGATGCTGGCTGTGCTGTGCTGTGCTATACACGCAGGGGTGTCAAACTCACATCGTGTTGTCATCACGTGACATATCGTGACTTTTCCCCCCTTTGCTAAACCAGGAGGTGGGCATGGCCAGTGTGTGATGTATCTGGCCTGCAGGCTGCGAGTTTGACACCCCTGATCTAATGCATGCTGTTATTACAAGGTTTAATTATGGGGAAAAGAGCAGGACTCCATTCTCCTACTCCATCTTTGTTTCAGAAGTGCTCTACCAAAAACGCATTAGCATTTTGCAGAGCATTTCCTCTGTAGAGCTATCAAAAGACAAACATTCCATGTAGTGAATGTTCGAAGTTAGAGACTGGCTCTCGAGGCAGAAATTGTATAAAAACTACAGAAATGGTGCCCTCCTTTTACCATATGAATCAGGATTCTGCAAGTGGGGCGCCAACCATTACAACACATCAGGGACTATCATCGTTTCATATTGCCCTTTCCACATGAGGAGTCACAAGATTAGAGGGGAAGCTCTATATCCCATGCTTCTGAGACTCTGAAGGACAGCAACAGCATAGATTAGTCCAGAGATGGGTTCCTACCAGTTGGCACCTATTCGGTAGAACCGGTTCGTCAAATCTACCGGACCGGTTAGAAGAGGTTCCACCAGTGGACCCGGAAAGCAGGCNTAAAACATGAATATACTCGATGCACACAAAAAATAGTTCTCCTGATTTTACATTTGCAATAGCAGGGAGAGGGAGATGCCATAAATAGGGCTAGATCAGTGTTTCTCAACCTTGGTAACTTGAAGATGTCCGGACTTCAACTCTCAGAATTCCCCAGCCAGCGAATGCTGGCTGGGGAATTCTGGGAGTTGAAGTCCAGACATCTTCAAATTGCCAAGGTTGAAAAACACTGGGTTAGATAGTTCTTTTGGTCAGAAGATGGTAGCTTAGCAGTTTTGCTTGGTTCTTTAAAGGCCAGTCTATATGCACATGATTGAATCTCATCTCACACATCTGAAAGAGCTACCGTACTATGCTGTTGATGGCAAGTCATTTTTGTAATGGGAAGAAATCTTCACCTGCAGAGTTATGGTATAAGAACATTTCTTAACTATAAGAATTATTTCGATGCTGGGAAATGTAAACAAGAGATTCTACAAATATAACACATATATCTTCTCTTTATTTCTCCAGGTTTTATTTTGCACAGTGTGAATTGTAATCCTAACTGGGGGGTTTATTTTTGTAAACAAATTGGATGTTAAATAGAGGCAATTGTGTATGGGAAAATGATGCAATTTTAGCCTTGTTTGCAAAGTCTTTGAGCGAGAATGTTATGATTCCCCAAGCAAAGAACATCCTTTTGTTATAATATGTTTATGATTTTATGTTCACTGTTGTAAGAAAAATTGCGTGCCTATTAAGAGCAGAGTACATGAATATTCCAGTGACCCATATAAACCTTATGCAGGTGGATTTATAACTTTCTCCTGGTTCCTTTGAGGCTCAAAAGTTGATGAACTACAAGGGAAACACAAGAAAATATGAAGTTAATCCTTAATTTTGGGTTGAAATTTTGCAGACTTTATCACTGATACAAAATTCATTTATTTTCATTATTATTTCTTCAAAGATTATTATCTCTTATTCTGCTTAGAAACATAATGTTTCTATAGCCTAAGGTTCAATCTTTCCCTTGGATAAGACTAATTGAAGTTAACGGGACTAACGTTTAAGGAGACATATGTAGAATGTTCTGGAATTTTTTTATATTTTACTAATCTTGAGTGTAAAATAATTGTGGGCGCAAGAAGCACAGATTTGGGGTTAATCTTAAATTTAAGCAGAGTCTGGACTGTTTGGTACATAGATGGAAGAGCTTGTGGGAATTCCAGAGTTGTGAGGTAAATAAAGAAGTTGAAAGCACAGGCCAGAAGAAGGGAACTGCAAGCTATTTCTGTATTGTTGCAAAGGAGGTGATATGGATGTATCTATGAAGTCATCAGGAGCTCTATTGAAAGATGACCTGACTTTTTCCACAATCTTATAGTTTGGATGGAAGAGAAAGAAAAGAAAAGTTACACAAGACTGAACTTCAAAATATGTTAAAAGATGTGTGAGAAAGTTGGAATAGAAAACATTAGCATTACCAAAGATAATCACAAAGTGTTGGATGTTTTTGACGTGAAGTTGGGTTATGAGAATTTAAAAACTGAAGGATTATTAATCAATGTTGCAGACTGAATGAACCATTTCTGTAAAAGCATGTAGATGCTATACTTCAATATGGGACTGCATGTAAAGATATTGTAGGGCATTATATTAATGATTTTGCAATTGTATATTTGATATGTGTATATTTTGAAATGTGTTTAAAATTTCAGAGAGATTTCAGGTGAGCCAATTCAAAGACCTCCATTCCAGGAAAATAATGGATATTTTCTGTATAAAGCTCTCTTACATGAGCTTCAAAAAGCCTCTTGCTAGAACTTTCTCAGCTATTTACCAGAGCCTACAGAACGTTTTGATTTCTTGGAGATAATTTATAATTTTAAAAAATGAAATGTTATATCCAAAAAGGGTAGGGTCACCACATTTTTTAAATGTTTTTTTTTAAATTGAAATC